AGATCAACCTAGCGATCGAGGTTTAAAGAAATTGAGAAGAGAAATGTTTGCCCAAAATCAACAAGAAATGCTAGTCATACTCGGAAATGTCGACTATATTTTTCTATTTAAAATTTTTTTAAAAAGATTTAAGGACCAATGCGGTCCAGAGTGTGTGTGGACATAGCACTTCTCTAAGAAAAATGGTTTGGATAAAATTAAAGTACTTGCTTTACTCACAATCTCACATAAAAATACAAAAACAAAAAATAAGTGCGAGCTCTGCCTCTCAAACAATCAAAGGACTGAGCAAGGTATACTGTACTGTCAAGAAACCTAGACCATCCAAAATTCATAAAGAAACACAACTTGTTTATTATTTCAGATGGTCAATGAACAAGTTATACATTGAACAAAGTAAGAGTTCCTACTTCGCATTAATATCACACGGTCAATGAACAAGTTATACATTGAACAAAGTAAGAGTTCCTACTTCACATTAATACAATCTCTTATATCAATGCTTTAATCCCAAAGGAAAAAAAAAATACAGGTTTTTTTAATATTGGTACACTTAAGGATGCATTTATTTTATATATTTATTATTAATTTATATAAAAAATTATAAAAATAAATTTTATTTTTAATATTAATTAAAATAATTTAATTAAATAATTAATAAAATTTAAATTAATTTTTATTTTTATATAAATTCATAATAAAAAATGTAATTAATATATAATTAATTTATACACTTAGAATACAAAAACATGTTAAAAAATTCTAAATATTAATAATGTTCATTTTATTAGGTTATATCAATGGTTTGTTGATTTGAGTGGAAAAAATTTAATTTTTTTAAAATAAAATTTTAAATTTGAATCTTATAAATAATAAAATAAATATTAAAAAAATTTATGAGATTTAATAAAATTTGATATGAATCAATTTTAAATTTATCAAAATCCAATATACTTCCCGCATAATAGAAAAAAAAATATCACTAGGTTGTACTTAATTGTTGCGTTGACGTTGGGTTCCTCCTACTTTCCAATTTCAAAAATATTTTCTTATTTTCATCTTTCCATCATTACAGAACCACAGAGAATACTCATTATTCTTTTTTTTTTTTTTTTGGGAAAATACGCAAGGGAAGAGAATCCTCATTATTCGTCACCGTAAATGCAATTTTAACGGCTCAACCCCCAACAAATCTGCTTCCTGATTGATAGACTTCATGAAAATATTTTTGTGATTCCCAATTAGTTCCCACCGCACGTCTCGGCAGTTCCATTTTCTTTACTAAAAATGAGAATTTGTGTAACATTAAATTTTTAATAGAAATTTTATTTTATAATTTATATTTTATTAAATTATGAAATAAAAATTTTAATATTAAAAAAATAATTTTTATTTAATAATTAATATAATTTAAATTTTAATATACCTTTTTATTCTTTAATAATACTTCAATAAAAAATAAAAAAATATTATAATATACTTATTATTTTTAAATTTTAATTATTAATAAAAAGTAAACCGTCAATATTAAAAATGTCTCTCCCCTATCAATGGTTCACTTTTTTCCTAAATAACATAAGGTTTGTTACTCCATTTTTTTATTTCACGATCGTTTTCAGATTTGAATTTGATTAAATATTATATAATATAAATGGTAGTGATTGGTAAATATGTAGTTTAAGTATATTTCAGATTTGATTATGTACTTTGGACTTTCTTTGGTTCCGTTCCCAGTCTGACTTCCGTATGTGGAATTTAATAAATTAAGGTACATCTACATAGGACCGCCAGGGCGAGTTTTGGACCATCTTGATTTATATAATTAGTTAGTCTTAATCTCAGTGTTTTTTTTTTTTTTTTTTGAACATTTTGACACGGGACGGGTTCGAAACTCGTCCAGGGGAGCGGGGAATACACCTAACAAGCTGATTAATGTCAGTGAACCTCTAGGCCCAGATGGGTCTTAATCTCAGTGTTGACTAATATTAATAAAGTAATTTTAATTTAAATATTTTAATCCAAATAAATTAAAATAAAAATAAAAACCCAGCTAAACCAGATCTAAAGCAGTCCACTTTCTATTGTGGAGATTGTTCTCCACATTCACTTGCTCGAATAAAACTCACGGTTAGATACACTGCAGAGCTAAATTTAGGCTTAACTCTTTATTGAGCTCTTTAATTTATAAATTTTAAAATTATTAGTCCTTCACTTAAAAATTTAATGGTATTAGTTTTTTAACAATATAATTTGAAAGAATTTATTATTATTTAACAAATTTTAATATCACACTATTAGTAAAACACTATTTCAATCATAATTAAATAATACAGTCAACCACCCTTATCTTACACGACGTGCTACTATAGCAATGCCATACTCTATCATAATAATTTTTTTTATAAAAAAAAAAAAAACTTATTTAGATTCTTGACAAAAATAAACCATTTAACTTGATTAGAGTGGGGCTGATAAAAGAGAAATTTTGTTAATTGCAATGGTGGCATGTCGCATAGGATAGAAATGTTGACTATATTACTAACTAAGATGAAATTAAATAACATTTGGTTAACGATATAAAATTAAAATTTTTTAAATAAGGATAAATTCTTTCAAATTATATTGTTGAATAGTTAATACCTTTAAGTTTTTAAACAACGACCAATAAATTAAAAAGTTATATATAGGGTTTGACTGTAAATTTAATATTCAAATCTTAAAATTAGTATTGAAAACTATAATTTATTTAAATACATCTAAATCATGTGAATGATATATTCATAAAATTATTTTGAAAGAAATTAATCAATGTAAAAACTAATTTAAAAATACCATAACTATAAATACTAGAAAAAAAAATACTCCACTAAAATTGAAGCAATAAATGTGCCTTGCGTCCGCAATTTTGCTTTTTGGTAAACCTTTGTTATGGCCCTTGACAACCTTTAATCCATTAAAATTGAATTTTTCGATTTCTCAAGTTCTTGAATAGACAGCATTGCTTAACTTAGTCGACTAAAATGTGCAATTTTCTGGTTTCTCAATCTCCTACTTCCTCAGTTCTTGTTTTTAGTCCTCACAGCTGCTCATGGTCCTTTCCGTTACTTTCCTCATCTTTCATATGCTTTCCATTTGCTTTTCTGGTTTCTCAATCTCCTACATCCTCAGTTCCTGTTTTTAGTCCTCACAGCTGCTCATGGTCCTTTCCGTTACTTTCCTCATCTTTCATGCGCTTTCCATTTGCTTTCACCTTTCTCTGCTTTCCATTTGCTTTTCTGGTTTCTCAATCTCCTACATCCTCAGTTCCTGTTTTTAGTCCTCACAGCTGCTCATGGTCCTTTCCGTTACTTTCCTCATCTTTCATGCGCTTTCCATTTGCTTTCACCTTTCTCTTCATCTGTTTTCATGCTTTAGTAAGGTCCATTCCTTTTGGACCACCCGACTGTATATCTCAAAGTTGTCTTAAATGGCTAAAAATGTCAAATTAAAAATTAAAAATTTCATGTTTAAATCATTGAGGTAAAGAGGAATGAATAATAGAAAAAAGAGAAATGTATACACAAATATTTTTTGAATGATTATTAAGAGTATATATATTATTTCAATAAATTAATTTTAAGAAACTCCTTTTTATATCGAAAAGCTAACATTTACCATAAAATATCATGCATAATATGATATATTAATAATAAATTGA